GTGCAATGGCGTGATCTCGGCTCACCGCAACCTCCACCTCCTGGGTTCAGGCAATTCTCCTGCCTCAGCCTCCTGAGTAGCTGGGATTACAGGCACACACCACCATGCCCAGCTAATTTTTTTGTATTCTTAGTATAGACGGGGTTTCACCATGTTGACCAGGATGGTCTCCATCTCTTGACCTCGTGATCCACCCGCCTCAGCCTCCCAAAGTGCTGGGATTACAGGCGTGAGCCACCACACCCGGCCCAAGAATCAGTATTTTTAAGATGGCCATTCTCCTCAAACTGAACTATAGATTCAATATAATACCAATCCTAATCCCAGAGGCTTGTTTGAAGAAATCAACAAGATAATTTAAAAATTTATATTGAAATACAAAGGACCTAAACTATCCAATACAATTTTGAAAAAGTAAAACACAGTTTGAGGCCTTATACTACTTGATGTCAAAACTTACTTTAAAGTTACAGTAATCAACACAGTGTGGCATTGGCAAAAAAATAGACATAAAAGAAACATCCAAAGAAATAGCTTTCACTCACTTCATAAATCATTTTCTCCTTAAAAATTTAATTGGGAAAATAAGGAAAGCCACACTTCATAGAGAATTTTTAAAAACACATATCAGACAAAGGCTCATATCTAGAATGTTTAAAAGATTTGGTAATAAATTGTAAAAAAAAATTTAAGAATATACAAAAAAACCCTGCAAATGACCCATATTTCATGAAAAGATGTTTATTGTTACTAGTTATCATCAAAATGCAAATATAAATTAAAACCTCAGTGAGATACCACTACACACCTGCTAGAGTGGCTAATGTTTAGAAGACTGAGTTTGACGACTGATAGCAAAGATGTGGTGTGCATGTGACTCTTATACAATTGATGGTGAAAATGCAAAATGGTACAGAGACTTTGGAAAATAATTTGGCAGTTTTCCATAGATTAAGTGCAAACATACCATATGACCCAGCAATATAATAGCTGCAACCTGGCAGCAATCTAAATTGTCACAAATGCATGAATTTGAATGCATAAACACTGAGGTAAATCAGTCCTATAGCCTATTCCTTTGCAGTATAAGGGAATAAAACATTAATACATGGAATAACATGAGTAAATCTCAAAATCATTATTATAAGTGAAAGGAGAGAAACACAAAAGACTATTTAATGTGTGATTCTATTTGCAAGAAATTCTAGGAGAAGCAAACCTAGGTAATGATAAAACAAATCACTTGTTTCCTGGGGTTATCAGTGAAGTGGATGATCCACAGCAAAGGGTCATAGAAGTCTTTTGCATCCTTTGTGAGATTCATTTCTAGATGGGTTATGTTTTGTGTTATTTTTATCCATGGAAAAATATAAAAACTCAGGGGAAAATGCTGACAATAAAACAACCTAAATAAGTGGTAAGATAGACCAAGTACACAGAAGGAAGATTCAGTGTTATAAAGGTGTCCAATTTCCTCCAAATGGACCTTTCAATTTAATGAAATCTCAATCAGTTTCTTGGAAGAGTCCTTTTTTTAATTTAACAGGCTGAATCTAATGCATAGAATGCTGAATCTAATGCATAGATGGCTGAATCTAGCATATATAATCATCAGCAAAATCCCAAGGAACACCAAACCCTTCCTGAGGGAATATCATGAGGGAAAACTTCCAGATAGCAAGATTTACTACAAATGTATATAATTTCACAGTGTAATATTGATGCAGGAATGAGCCAACTTATCAGTGGACACATAAAAAAGTTCCATATGACCCAATGACTATAGATATTATTGCTGAAATATTGATCACGTCGTATCTTACTGAGTGAATCACCTTCTCAAATTATTACAGATAGAAACATACAAAATTAGATTCCTACCTCACACCATACATTCATGTCATTTCCTAGTGAATTAAAGCTTAATTTTTTAAAGAAAAAGTAAAAAATGTTTCAGAAAAAATATAGGAGACTATTACTATGACTTTGTAATAGGAAAGTATTTATTATATATGTCATATCAAACACAATAAAAGTAAACATTTTTGACTATTAATAATATCATAATGTTTCATAAAGAAAATGAAAAGCCCAACTAAGAAAATACACTTTCAACACATAAAACAAATGAAAATTTCATATGGGATGTATAAAAAAATTGCTTTTAAATCGATTAGATAAAAACATTCCAACAGAAAAATGTAGGCAAAATAAATAAATAAACCAATAAATTTTATAAAATACGACAAAAATTGTAAATAAGCACATGAAGAGACTCAAAGTCATCAACACTCTGATGACGCAAAATAATATCAAAGATACCATTTTGCACCCACTATATTGGAAGATAGTAAGAAGTTTGCAACCAGCAAGTTTTAGAGAGGATGTGAGTTATGAGAACTCATTCACTATTGGTGCCTGTTCAAGTGCCGTAAACACTTGAAAATAACTTGTAAGGTTCAGAATTCCCATAACCCAGGCAAACCTCATCTCTACTAAAAATACAAAAATTAGCTGGGTGTGGTGGCACAAACCTGTAATCCCAGCTACTGGGGAGGCTGAGGCAGGAGAATCACTTGAACTGGGTAGGTGGAGGTTGCAGTGAACCAAGCTCTCGTGCCATTGCACTTCAGCCTGCGACAAGAGCAAAATTCCATCTCAAACATTTTTTTAAAAAGGAAAAAAAGAAAAAGCCTTGTACGTTTGTAGCGAAAGATGTAAAGGAGAGTGTTCATGGTAAAATGGTTTGTAGTAACAATAATGCTAGAAATGACTGGCATCCATTGTGATACACACTTGAATCATGTACATCAGTGAGAACGAAGACCCAAGACCGTACGAACTATTCACCTTAGACCTACGATATAATATAAATTACTGAGAAGCACAGTAAATGTCACCTTATTCAGCTCAAATGCAAAGAAAACTAAACACGATAGTATTTAAGAATACATCAGTATGTGATAAAACCATTAAAAGTAGTGGAATGATAAAATTCAGGAGAAAGAAAAGCAATCGTATGTTCTCATTCGAAGTGGTCTCATTGGTTTCCATTGAAACAAGCTGGTTTTACGTCCATCAAATGCAGTACTACTTAATCTTTTTTAATGTATTATTTTAAGTTCCGGTGTAGATGTGTAGGATGTGCAGGTTTGTAACATAGGTAAACATGTGCCATGGTGGTTTGCTGCGCCTGTCAACCTGTTACCTAGGTATTAAGCCCGGCATGCCTTAGCTATTTATCACGATGCTCTTCCCTGCTCCTGCCCCTCTGCAGCAGGCCCCAGTGTACGTTGCTCCCTTTCCTGTGTTCTCATTTTTCAACTCCCACTACATAATCTTAAACAATCATTGTTTCACTGTGATCAGTAATGTTGGGGTGGGGTAAAAGCAGAGAACTTGGAACTCCTTGGAGCGGGGGGTGTCAAAGACAGTAAATCTTCATCCACTGATGGCAGACTTGAGTTTTAGAAATTCATTGAAAGCAAAAGCTAGTGAACAAGGGAAGAGAAGGTGACCATCAGATTAAGTCATGACCTTTTCTGCAACTTCTATAATTAACAAACTTAAGTGCTTTATTAAAAAAAATTCTAAAATTTGCTATATAAGGACAACTTCACTGAAATGATTGCAGCGGCTTCCACGTGAGTGCTTGTAATGGGAGATAGCTTATGTGATAGGTGCACCTTGGTATGTTTGCTTAAGAAACAGAAAAGCATGAGTCATTTGATTTGTACGTGAAAGTATTACCAGGAAAATAAATGAAAGCAATTTCACCTAAACATCCGTTAGCAACTTTAGCAGTGAACTTTTGGATGTAATTTACATAATGCATAAAATGGATTGATCTAGGACCATGTAGATGATGAAATTTTCATTATATTGATAGACTTTCATTTTTCTCGTAAAATCTACACATGCTTAAATTATAACAACTCTGCTTTTGAATTAATCCAGTCTGCATAATGTTTTTCAGTCATCAACTATTATAGTGTGAAGTGCCTTTACCACCAAACTGGCTCACTGTTCCTGCCTCCACTCAGAAAGATAGTATTTTTCTTCCCCCACTGTTGGCCCTGCCTCTCCACCTACAACCCTACGTTTCAGAAAGTAATTTTCCCATATGAAATTTTCTTACTCTCTTCTAATATAGTGGCTGCAAAATGATATCTCCAATTTTATTTTGCATTATCAGAATGTTAATGATTTTAAGAGTCTATTCATGTGCTTACTTAATATTTTTGTCTTGTTTTACAAAATTCCTTGGTCTATTCATTTTGCCAGTTTTTTTCCGTAGGACTGTTTTTATCTCATTGATTTGTTGTTTGTTTTTTAAATACAACCCTACCTTTCAGAAATATACCCTTTCATTCATAGGAGATACAGATGTACATACCCATATGCATACTATTTTGAGTAAGCGTTTTTACTAATTTTCTAAGGGGATACTTGAAATCTTCGTTGTTTGTATACAAGAGGCCAGACTCAGAATCTAGGTTATGTATAGATTCACAGGTATTCACGGCAGCGAAGCAGCTAACTCCTCCAAGGAAGAGCAGCTAGGGGAACCCGTGGAGCAGATGAAAACATGTTTTGCAGGATGTGGATGTGGGCCGCAGGCATTCTGCATACAGATTTGTTACAAAGTTGGTTATAGGAAATTAGTCACTTTACTAGCGATTGTCTTTGGCCCCTTGGAATAGCTGCTTTCTCAATCTGCTCTTCATGTCCTGCCCAAGAACATTCTAGCTGTTCCAAAGGTTTTCTCTGTGTGCGCCTGTGCTTTTTATGTCAGTGTGTAAAGTAGGAGAGAAGCATCACGTTGAGGCTGGATTAAGAAGAGCTGGGCATATTGCACCATATTGAAAGGGCCCTTTGATGAACAGGAGCCTTTTTTTTTTTTTTCAAAATTAATGATTTTATTTTACATAAATGTTTGTCAAAAGCCAAGTGAGTTTCTTGATGTTTCATGGCGTTTTTTTCTACTTCCTGTCTTACAGATACAGAATTCATCTACAGAGAACAGAAAGGAACAGTGAGATTGTGGAATGTTGAAACAAATATTTCTACTGTCTTAATAGAAGGCAAAAAAATTGTAAGTACTCCCTTTAATGACCAGGATAATTTTGGTTTTTCCTCCTGCAAGTCGATAAAGCAGAAAATGACTTTCGGTTTCAGCTTTTAGCATAGCCAAGGAGAAGCAATAAACTTGTAATACTAGAGGCTGAGCAACCAAAGATAATGTGAAATCGAAACCACGCTAATTTAATAAGATGAAAGCACTGTTTCTTTCAGTGTCCGGGAAATTTCTCTGCAGGTGTTGGAAACAAGTGTTGCATATCATATATAATTAAAAGATAAAGTCCTAAGGCTTTTACACATTTACAGAACAATTGCAATAATGCATGTAGAATACTTCAGGAGAATTTGCTCAATCCCATTTAAAAAAAGCTCATCTCCACGTGCATAGGAAGTATTAACTTAGGCACTGTGACTATACTTACCCTAATTGTATTAAGTGATGCTTAGGCTTGAAAACAAATACTGAGTGAATATGAATGCCACTGCTTTATGATTAGGGAAAATTTGTTTTCCCAAATATATATATTTTTTGAGACAGGATCTCACTCTTGTCAAGGCTGGAGTGAAATGGTACAGTTGTGGCTCATTGCAGCCTTGACCTCCCAAGCTCAGGCAATCCTCCCACCCTAGCCTCTTGAGTAGCTGGGACTACAGGCATGTACCACCATGCCCAGCTAATTGGTGTTTTTTGTTTGTTTGTAGAGAGATGGTCTTAACTGTGTTGTCCAGGCTGGTCTCGAACTCCTGTACTCAAGCAATCCTCCTGCCTTGGCCTCCAAAAGTGCTGGGATTACAGGCCTGAGCCACTGTACCCAACCCCAAAGATTTAAATAACATAAAGATTTGATGTTCACATATGGCTAAAGATATGTATTAGGAACATTGACTGAAGTTATATACCAAAAATCAATTTAAAGAGAATTGGTATTTTGTTTGTTTACAAAATGTTCAGACTCTTATTAGAATAAATAAATCTCCAACTCTAAGCAGTTGATTCTTTTCTTGTTTGAGACACTGGGGAAATCAAAGGATGGAACTTAGGCTAAATCTATATTAAAAAGCCGGAATTGAAACAGGCTGTTAATCCCAAGTTACAGCAATCATAGCAGGGATCTGGTATGAATTGGAAACACAGAAATCCTAGAATCCTATAATCCGGGATTACAGAAGGTTGAAAAAAAACGATTGGTTCCCTGGATTTCCAGATAAGGATCCTGAGCCCAGACTTAGAGCATGAGTGTTTCAGTCTTGCAGGTCACTGGTGGCTGTGGGAGCGTTCAGGTGGGTCCCAGAAGCCCGTGTCCCAGGGAGAAGGAAGGATGGCTTCGTCTTTACCCCACCCCATCCCCAGACCCACAGAAATGCCATTCTGCCTTCTTTCCCTCCTAAAGAACATGGAACTTGCTATTTAAATTCTTTCATTTATTTTTTGCATAAAGATACCTTTTTATTAAAAGGTTTGCTGAGATTTAGTATTAAGTGGATGCTGCCCTTAACATAGACTGCAGGTGTAAGGGCGGCCTTGTGCTGTTGGATGATGGTGTCGTTCCAAAAACAATCACTTTATTGAATTAAATCGTATTCTGCAAAGTAGGACCTAGGACAAATGAGCATGCCTGCATTTTTGCATTAAAAAATCATCGTCAGTAGAATTAGTCCCTTAAGAGAATCTGATTCAACTCGCTTGGAAATACTGACGTTGCAGAAATGGTTTTCTAGTATTCATAAAGAGGATAAAATCATTAGGCTGCTGCTGAGCATGAGTGCATTTCAATGTCAGAATGTTTTCAGCATCTCCTGTGAGGATGTCGGTTTAGTGACGGCAGGGTGTTGTACATAACAGCTGCACTTAGCAATGAAATACATGAATGTGAACCGCCTTCTCTTTCGAAAATCGATAGCTTGTGACAGATCATATATTTTAACTGAAGTTATTTTAGCCAAGTCACCTTTAATAAGGTGACTTCAGAAAACATCATAGGTGAAGAAAAATCCTCATCTCACAAATTCGCTGGCTTATTCTATATAATGTAATCTCTTTTTTTCCTTAAAGTGTCATTTTTCCATTCATTTTGCAAACATTTATTGAGCACCAAATGTATACAACCTAATGGGGTATTTGTTTCTCAAAGCTATATTTAAATGCTCCTGTAAACAGACTCAAAATAAAGAAAACAAGAAATGTCATTTGGCGCTCTCCATCCTAATTGAGAACCCAGTTCTGGATTTAATTTCCAGAGCCACTTAGTCATTTAAAATTACTGTGCCTCAGCCAGGTGTGGTGGCTCATGCCTGTAATCCCAGTACTTTGGGAGGCCGAGGTAGACAGATCATGAGGTCAAAGGATTGAGAACATCCTGGCCAACATGGTGAAACCCAGTCTCTACTAAAAATACAAAAAGAAAAATGTTAGCCAGGCACGGTGGTGCACACCTGAAGTTCCAGCTACTCGGGAGGCCAAGGCAGGAGAATCGTTTGAACCCGGGAGGGGGAGGTTGCAGTGAGCTGAGATTGTGCCACTGCACTCCAGCCTGGTGGCAGAGACTCCATCTCAAAGAATAATAATTATTATTATTATTATTGTGCCTCAGTGGCTCTAGCTCCACATTAAAGCTGATTTCTTCTGCCAGCCCAGAACATGGGTACTCTGTGAGATCCAGCAATAGAATATGGGTATGCTCTGTGTGTTTTCATGAGCAAGAATTGAGAAGGCGAAGCCTGGTGTTCCACAGGGGCCGGAGCTTGGAGGATCATCCACAGCCCGGAGGAGGATGCAGGACTGGGAATGGGGAGCCCTCATTTGAATTCCAGAAGCTGTAAGCTTGTATAAATGAGAAAAAGCAATCTGAGGCCAACTGTAATTTTTAAGTTGGGCTACAAAACAGCCTTAAACTAGTTGAGAAATGGAAAGGAAGTGGTGAATTCTGTAGTCAACAGAATTTTAAAAGATTCTCTACAACTTTGACCTCTAATAACCTCATTCTTCTTCCCCAGCCAATAAAAACAGAGCCTCCTCATACCTGGTCACTACAAAGTACCAAAGCCAGCTTCTTCTTGGCTCCTATGCTTACTATGATTGGCTCTTACCTGGGACAGGTGGGTGGAAGGGCCTGGAAATCACTGCAAACATCGTCAATCCAGCAGGAAAGCTTTTAAGATCACTGGTGAATAAGCAAATTCAGAACTTGTGCTCAGTTCTGTACTTACATGGATGTATTTCACCTGGCTTTACCCAAACAACTTCTTCTGACTAAATTTGCTAATTCAGTCATCGTTTATTGTGCCTCTAAATGGTAGAAATCATAAAACAACATCACAAACATGTTAGATTGTTGAGTTCAGCCTGGGCGTGGTGGCTCATGCCTGTAATCCCAGCAGTTTGGGAGGACGAGGCAGGCAAATCACTTGAGGTCAGGAGTTCGAGACCAGCTTGGCCAGTGTGGTGAAATCCTATCTGCTAAAACCAAAAAAGTTAGTCAGGCATGGTGCAGCATGCCTATAATCCCAGCTACATGGGAAGCTGAGGCAGAAGAATTGCTTGAACCTGAGAGGTGGAGGTTCCAGTGAGTCAAGATTGTGCCACTGCACTCCAGCCTGGGGAACAGAGTGAGACTTCATCTCAAAAAAAAAGAGGGAGAGAGTTTCTATATGTGTGTACATTTAAAATTCTATGATGCTTATACTGTGGTTCACAATTTGGGGGACATCTTTTGTTTTATATAATACATGTAGTTTGATAGTGGACTATTTTCTGTTCCCTATTGTTTGATAACGTATCATATTTGATGGTAGCTAAGAATTGATTTTTAGGAAACGTTTTTCAGAATGTCTTGATCCATTTCCTCTTTTGAAAAATTTTGAAGTGTTTGTTACATTTCTATGGAAAATGAACCAAATGAAAGTACAGCTGTCCCCAAAGCACAAGCGCAGCCTCTGAAGGAGCTGTCCTCAGCTAGCAAGGCTGCGCCCAGTTCTAGGCTCACTGGAGCAGGTTCTGTCTGGGATTTAACTTTGTCTCCCACATAGCACTCAGCACCATGACCTGCACATAGTAGGCTCTCCACTGTTATGTGTTTTATGAATGACTGTCCTAGAATGAGAAAATAACAGAGTTGAGCAGTTTTCCAGAAATATCCATGTGAATGAGAGGCGTGGAGGGCATTCAGCCCTGGGGTCACGACCGTGAGCTTCGGATCTACCTCCCAGTATTGGCATTGTTCTCTTCTCAGGAACAGCAGGACCCCAGCCACTTCTACAAGTTCTGAATGCCCAGTCTTACCCCTCAGGCATGTTGTAGAACTAAATTAGAGATGGAACAGCTGGAACGTGGGTATATGGGTATATGCCACATGTGGATTCCAGAGCGTTAGGCTAGACAGCAGAGCCTGGGCAGGCTCAAGGCTCAGGCAGGAGGAGTGGGGTGAATCTACGAAGGAAGACACAGGATGACCAAGCCCAAAGGAGCATGACAAGGACGCTGTGGCATGTGGGCGGCTGCGTGGGTCCAGGCAGCAGTAGCAGACAGTGGAATCCATACCACTTGAGTGTTGAGGTCCATCCCTCATGAAGCTGGGTGTAGCCTGCATCCCAGAGTGGGGCAGAGTCATCCAGAACTAGTAATTTACAGCAAGAGGCACTCTCAGAATTCTAAACATAAATAAAAAATCAAACCTAAGCTTACTTTTACTTGAATTATATGTTTGATGTCACAGAAATTCTAGGGCATTACACTTTAGCCTTTTAAAACAATATTTTAAATGTCAAACAATGTTATTTTACTTTTATGCTCTTTATAACACTCTTTTCAACAAGTTAACACATATTATAAAATGGCCTTTGTTCTATTATGTAGCTTGTTCGTTTTTTCCTGAAAACTGAACCACCACAAGTGTATCTCATGATCCAAAATTGGGTCTTTGGACATTTGGCCAATGGTTGCCTGGGTCCTAAAGTTCTCATGACTTTTTCTCTTCTGAGTAGGACACTGACTTCTTTTCTCTTTTCCTCCCTCCC